AGAGGCGACGAGAAGGAAGTAATGGGAAGCAAAAAGTGCGAATTCTTCCCATTCATCGAACGGTTCCACAGCATCCAAGGAGGATCGCAGCGAACTGGTCACAAATCCGTCATCAGACCATAGATCCCACAGACTCCTGGCATTGGCTTGCTGCCATCCGGCGTTCCTGAACCGCTGTTCTTGCTCGTCAAGTGAAGGGTATTCATGAATCGAGTACAGCGGTGCTCCGAGCTTCTTGAAGTGTTTCATCATGGTCGAGGCGAAAGGATGATCGGGTCCGTCGGGGAAGAACTGCTCAAGAATGCAGAACTTGGCATCTGAGGTTTGACGTTAGTTTGCATGCGATCAGCCACGGAAGCCGCACGGAATAGACACCATACCATTGTTCAACTTTGACGCCCACTCGACAACATCATTGGCAGACTTGACATCCATATAGGTCAAGGAAACCTCAGCTAGGAAGAGGACTGAGCACTCAGCGGGCAGGACCTCGGCTCTCAGCACATCGTCCAACTTTTTGAGATTTTTGAGATCGCATCCAATGCCTAGGTATTTCGCGCTGCGTATTTGCACGGCGCTTTCGTCGGATAGGAACTCTACATTCTGGAGAACCTGTGTGATTTCATCGGTCCGTTTGATGGCAGTCTTCTTATTGATCATGAGCTTCTCATAGTCGATATCGACGAATTGCGTATCTCTACACAGGGATGGATCTTCACTGAGGAGAATGAACGGTAGGGGATCACTACGATAACCATTCTTAGCATACGATCCAGGTACCAATAGGTTCTGCAACCAAGCGGTTGCTTCCGGTTTGCTACGACTCACAATCCACACCCCAAGTTCAGGACAAACTTGGGCTTTCCCGTAGGCTCTCTCATGAATTGTCGCACCGACTCTGCCATCGCATGCATACGAAGCCAATATCCACGATTGATCAACGGCGACCGCCGCTGGGGCTTTTTGACGAAATACCGAAAGAAATGGGGCTTGGGGTAGTAGAGCATTTCGACGCTGCGTTTAGATACGATACTACTGTTATTGGTCTAGGACTGTTAGATGTAGCACAGGCAATCGAGAGAGATGTAGGCGCTGGGGGTGGTCTGTATCTGCGCCAGGCGCATAGTGGGACTCCGTCATAGTATGCAATTGCGACTTACCCCCATAACCAGATCGGCCTCCTTCTCAGCTTTCGTGCTGGCTGTAGCCATGGCCGGCTTTTTCGTAGCCGCCTTGACAGGGCCGGCTTCCTTTTTTGCCGTCATGGTGAAATTGACGTTGTGCGGGGTTAATCGTAGGGGAGGGAAGAAATAAAGTGGAAATTTGCGAAAAGAAAGGCGGAAATGTCGATCAAGATGTGGCCCAAGCGTCAGGTGCTTCGCTTGCCGCGCCTGACGCAGACCGCGGCAAAGGAGAGGAACTGTTGTTCTTCCCCCCGGATACCTCCGCTACCAACCAACCAAGTCGGCGTCACCTCGCGGTTGTGGAGGCGCTCGGAGTATATAAACGGCGAACCGTTACTCGAGTGACTGTTGCGCAAGCGAGACATGCAAATCAAGGCCCATTAACAGTGACGGAACCGGCTCTAACCAGAGATCTGCTAACCCCTCCATACCCGACACTAAAGCGTGTTACTCCTCCAGGCGACGTGATATCACCAAAGCTCATCTCGGATCTCTCGGTTTATTCATCACACGGCATACTGTGCTGTCATATATCGGTTTAATAGGAAAGCAGAGTGGAGTGAGGTGTGGTCGATCCCGGTGATCGACAAAGCAACGATGTCGATGAACTTCGTGACGTTTAACCAGGACTATAGCTATTTAGCTGTGGGTAAGGCTCTTCCTGCTCCCAACTCCTCCCTTCTACACTCATGAACTATGTCTTGACACCTGTCAGCGACTTCCAAGGGGTTTCGCATCTTCACCACGGACCCTTTCGCAAAAAGCTATGAGACGAAAGAAGGGAATATAGCTATTATTGAGATGCTGTTCTCGACGTCTCTGGTTGCGCTGATCCTATCACCACGTCGCCTTCAAATAACTAATACCAAGGTTCGTAGGAAATCCTTCGCGCATGATGTTAGATTCTTCTTTTTCAAAAATCGCATGATCTCTCCCCTGTATTCTGCTGCGCGATTCACGAGGCGCAAATGGTTAACGCTTATTCTTTCATCTGCAACTTATAGCGCCAATCCACGATATGCGAATTGACATTTCCCACGACCGTGCTGGCCGTGAAGCTGAACCGGAAACGGCTTGTCATTGTGCTGGAGGACCAGATATACCTCTACGATATCCAGACGATGAAGCTCCTGTATACCATCGAGACCTCTCCCAACCCCAACGGTAAGGCTGCGACTACCTCTAGATATGAATGTGGTAGATTGTCTAACTGTTGGCAGCACTTTGTGCCCTCTCCCCATCCTCGGATAACTGCTATCTTGCATACCCTCTTCCGCAAAAGGCGCCGCCCTCTACGTTTCAACCTCCAGCTCACGCTCCTCCGGGAACGACACATGTTACACCTACAAGTGGCGAGGTATTGATTTTTGATACTTTGAAGCTGGAAGCCATCAACGTCATCGAAGCGCATCGGTCTCCGCTAGCGTGCATCACGTTGAATAGCGACGGAACACTTATAGCCACGGCGTCGGACAAAGGAACGATCATACGAGTATTCTCAGTCCCCGACGGGCGCAAGCTTTACCAGTTCCGACGAGGGTCAATACCATCCAGAATCTACAGCATGTCTTTTAACACCACCTCGACTCTCCTTTGTGTATCCTCTTCCACGGAGACAATCCACCTCTTCAAATTAAGCCTTCAATCACAGTCGCCAGACGCTACACCATCTTCTTCACTGACGGCCGCTGATCGAAGGTCTAGCCAAAGCTCACTTGGACAATTGTCTGATGCCGATGATAGAGGCGGAGACATGGCCGCATCCGAGCTTGCGTCGAGGAAACACAATGGAACTCTGATGGGCATGATCCGGCGCACCTCACAAAACGTGGGGAGCACATTTGCTGCCAAGGTTGGAGGCTACCTCCCCAAGGGAGTCAGCGAGATGTGGGAGCCCACCCGAGACTTTGCTTGGATCAAACTGCCCAAGTCCAACCAAGGACCTGGAGCAAATGGGAACAACGGCCCGTTGCGCAGTGTAGTCGCCATGAGCGCCAACACTCCCCAGGTTATGGTGGTGACTAGCGACGGCAACTTCTATGTATTCAACATCGATCTCTCCAAGGGTGGTGAGGGGACGTTGACTAAACAATACTCGTGAGTGTGCTTTTACCTACAGGTATAGAAGGACTGATATTGACTAATAAGCAGTGTGCTCGACACAAATGACCGCCTGGGATACTCCGTGATGGACTATTAATCTCGCCATGATACCACTCGTTACGTCTACTGCTACTACAAGTCGATCGTTACAGCGCCCGTTGCATTTTGTTTTAATTTGAGCGTTCATATACTTCTAATAGGGCCAGTATACGCCTTCCTATTTGTTCTTACTCTATTGTTTAAGCCTTCTTAAGGCGCTACTCCTATCCGCCTTGCTTGAATACTATCATGTGATGACTGACTTCTTCTCGTCTCTATGCCTTTACCATGTAATACCATATGTCCTAGACCCTGGGTATCTTTGTGACGGAGGTCAGTTCTGCATCGAGTGTCACGCATCTCTGATATTCGAGCGCTGTACTCTATGTGGTTGTACTTTATGCATGAAAACTTGGTCTGACACCCACTTGACTCCATCCACCCGCAATTTTGACGCTTGTAATGCAATCCACAAGTCGTATGAGCCGAATATACAGCACCTTTATCACAGTTGAGGCTGTGCCATATCATTCATGGACTAGACTAGACTCCCTTGCCTGTTAGGTTCGATAGCATTCTCAAGTATACCTCATTCTTCTCCTTTTCCCAATTTCATCCACTTCACCCCTTCCCCTAGGTAGGATTACCAGCAAGCGTTCTTTCCATCCCAAACTCACCCCATATCCTAAACACTCTTTCTTCACATCAAAATAAAAAAAATAAAATAAAAAGAATATAAAATAAAAAAAATAAAAAATAAAAAGAAAAGGACAGCGCAGCCAAGTGATCCAATGCTTGAAAGGTGTTTGGTAGTATAGATCCTCGTAAGATGCGGGATAATGAAGGATATATAAGTAATTACTAAGTACTATTCATATTTTGCCTACTAGGAAATGGAATTAAAATGTGGTTAAAGCCGTGTAGAAAAGTTGACATCAAGTACCAATTCCCATCCATCATGTCATCAACTTACAAAGCGCCGCCTTTTTTCGCTACTTTCGACGTTTTGCTTCCCTTCCTCCCCCTCCTAAGTCACTCGCTAACTAACTAACTACCTAGTACTAGTTACTAGTAGTATAGTCTTGTCTTCTTGCGGATAGTTGGTTGGTATTTATTGATTAGTATGCAACCAGAGGCAACCGGCCCGATGATGATGATGCGTAGTCATTATCATGTGTAGTTATCTAACTAACTAGTTGCGTCTCGCGTTCACGCCAGTATTTTGTTACACTTTACACTACACAATTCATCTGACTCATCCACCCTACACAAGATCATAGTTTAGCGAGTGGCCTCCGGATCACGTATGATTATCTCGTAATGGGCCTATATCCAGCATGGGCAGCCACTGTCACCGAAGAGAAGCCAAGCTATGCCTTTCGACTTCTGGTTTTAGAAATCTACTGGCTCTCTTTACCTTCTTATATCCCGTTGTTGGAATAAGAGTTCCAGTCCAATAATTTGAGATGTGGCCTGACTAAAGCCACTAGGAGTCGTTGTTCCAAAAGTCAGGAAATTGGTGTCTTTGGATGTGCTTATCATTGTGCGAAGTCTCCGGTCAATGGAGCTAGAGAACCCTGGAAGACCCCTCCAGAATTCTACATTACTCAATACATCCCCATTGATTGAAATATGCCCCGTTAGCCATACTTCATAATCAGACAGAGCAAATAGCTACAAGCCCCTCTCGCTTGTAATCCTCTCCGGCCTTCTCTTTCTCATCAACAATTTAGCCCCTTGATCTGTGAAACAATTCTCATTGACATGGAGTGTTTGAGGACGACCTCGCGCCCTCTGATCAGCGGAGAAGTCGAACTCGAAATCATACAACAACCGCGCCATGATCAGCTTGATCTCGGCGACGGCGAATTGGCGGCCAGCGCAAGCCTGGTTCCCATAGCCAAAGGCCAAGTTGTCGGGATGGGTCATGCCGGCCTTATGCCGGTCACGCTGGTCCGGGTGGGCCATGCGTTTTCGGTAGCTACGCATGGGATCGAATGCCTGTGGGTCTGAGTAGACGGCCGGGTCCATCGAGTGCTCGTAGTTGGCGAAGGCGAGCCGTGAACCCTTGGGAATGAGGGTGCCGTCTCTTAGTGCGATATCTTCATAGGCTAGTCTTTGAGGGTTGACTTTTTTTGTTGTAATGTTAGACAAAGGGGATTATTGGAAGCCCGCTCCCCTTCCTCAGGAGAAGCGTAAGGGGGAATGGGAAGAGAAGGAAAGGAAAGGTTGGGGGTGAAGAACTCACGGAGAAGAACAGGACTATGCCTCTGGCTTTCTACGAAGAAACTATCCAACTTGTCCAAGCGAGTACACCACTCTTTAGCACTGATTGGAGGGTTTTCCTGCCCGGGGGGTCCACCCAGGTCCTCAGCAATCGCCAGAACCTCTGCCCGAAGCTCAGCGAACCACTCGGGATAAGTGCAGAGGTCATACAGCATGTTGGAAACATTGGAGGCAGTGGTGTGGATACTAGCCAGGGTCAGGACGCACTGACGAGCGCCCATCTCATCCACCGCGACCTCACTGGGAGTACCATGATCCAGCATCCAGTTCAGTAAAGTGTCTTCTTCGTCCTCTGCTTCTCCGCGCAGTCGCTTCTCCTGGGCCAAACGGTGCCGCTGTGTGAGCTCGCCCACGATTTGGCGGCCAGTCTTCAGCTGCCGGAAGGTGCGATAGCGGGCGGGCACCAGCCGCGCAACGATTCCGTACAGCCAGGGCGGGAACATCTTGATAGTGAAGGCAGTGGTGAATAGATCGACGGAGAAGTCGATGGAGATGCGCAGCCAGTCCGGGTCGCGGCAGGTCGGGGCTCCCATGAAGACTTTGGCTGTCATGCGGGCCACGAGCATGCGCAGGTGATTTTCAATGGAAACCAAGGTCCATTCTATTCAATTTTAGGCGGAAGTGGTCATTAGCCCATGAGGAGAATGTCAAACAAGTTCATAGTCTATGACTGACCATCAGTATGCGGCAGATCGCGCTCCCACCCATACACCAATTCCTCCTTGGCCTTATCCACATAGTTATACAAGTCAGGAATGAGCTTCTTCTTGAGAACGTCGAGGTGGAGGTTGGAGTGGTAGAGGAATTGCATCGAGGTGTACTCGGGGGCTAGATTCTACAGTACCTCGTCCACCCTCATTAGCAAAAGCCAAGATTGTTCTTCTCTACTTCTTTCTCTATCCCTTTCGAGAGCAGGGGGTAAAGGGGGAGCGCGCTACAACAGAGCAAAAACGAGTAGACTGACCCCAGTCTGAGCCCCTTTGCTACTGAGCTTGGAGGGAGAAATCAGTCGAACCTCCTCCAGATACCTCATTGGTAGGACCAGGAAATCCACGTCCCAACGCCGGAGGACGAATGGGTTTCCTCTCATCTGCGGATCCCAGGGTCGTGAGAAATGGAAGACATTATATATAGTGTCAGATTTTCTTACCGTAGTGTAGGCATCATGGATGATATGTCGAGCACCCAGGATGAAGCGGCCCTGCAGGAGAAAAGTCGGCTCGAAAAAGGAACGATAGCCAAATATTGGAGCATTGGGAATTTGCTTAGAGCGGATGAAAGAAGGAGTAAAGAGGACGAAGAGGAGGATGAGAATGGCAGCTACAAGTGTTCCACGCATTCCGGGGATGTTGATAGTGGCCTCATAGTCGCGAAGAGGAAAGAACCCCGGGAAATGGAAGAAGGAGGAGAGACTATCCATCTAGTAAATGATGGTTCCTGAGCAACCGCGCATAAAGAGAAGACAAAGAAGTTAAGCGTGAAAGGAGGGGAAAGAAAAGATATCACTGAAAGTCGATCTTTCCCCAAGTCCTCGAACTAGGATCTCTCTCTCTTTTCACCTACAGTCGGCTCATAGCAGCCGCAGGAAATATGAGCCCCAAGTTAAGGTCTAGCGGTAGCTTGCATTAGCGAAGCGCATGATGATTTTGGCATTGACATTATCACTAGTACGTGATACTTGTATCTCCGGCCCCTCAGGGCTAGATTGCAATCAGGTGCTAGAATAGTGGTAATGTATTACTCTAACTGCTCTGTATAGTACGGCATACCTAGAAAATTCTTAGTTCAATTCCTACCTGCCTCCTCTACCTGCCTTCCTAGTACTACATTATCAAGGTTGAACTGGTATCCCTTCCTATCGGTATTCAAACAGAATTTCAGGAGAACACAGCAGTCAACTAGTAGGCTAGTAAGCACTGGCTATATCATTCATAAACTCTTGCAGAATTCTAGTATCCTAGTATCTTTCGGTATTTGTGAATTCTTACTATACACTATAAATACAGGCAGAGGCAAGGTAATATAGTAAGAAACGTATTATGTATTTGAGAGAGTCAAGTAGCCGCGCGTAGCTCTCTGCCTCGCTTATACTAGAGGTCTAATATAGCAAACAAAATTGAGGGATTTTGATGTGATTCTTCTCCTAGTATGCAGGGGGAACCTGATTTGGATTCTTTACCCAAACAAGAAGGAGACCAATGCTACCGGAGTTCGTGACAAGGTGGGCGGGGGTGTAATCGAGGGACTTGTAACTCCAATGCCACTATCAGCCGCCAAACTGTGCGCCAAAAAAAGAAGCGTGTGACAGGAGCGGGCGGGTGGGTAGCTGGGTCAATCAGGAGAGGTCTGGACGTTTGTCCTCTTGGGCCCCCAACCCTCCGCCCCCCCGCTGATCTTGAGATTATGGGAACTTGCCCACCAACAAGATAGGGCTGTTGGTTGTAGGGGGGGAGGGCAAACAGTAGTCCATATAATGAACGAACATGATTCGCTGTTGTACTCAGGCTATAACTACTACATATTAGGGATGCCTACCATGTAAAAAGTGGCTTGTTGCATGTAAGCGGGTCTAGATCAGTGAACAGGTTCACCTTCCAGGCTCTGTTATGGCCCCCCTCATCTGACAGATGACATGCAGTACTCCGTACACACTATTTTACCCAGGATGCTAGCCTCAGAATCAAACAGAGATCAGCCCCACGACAGAACTAGGTAGAGGATTCTGACTAGCACCCGAAATCCTTTCCGGTTGTAACGGCGCCAGATCCACCTCGGAGACACCCATCTTCTTGTAGCGCAGCAAACCCCGGGATTGTTGCGGCATCGAGGAGGACGAATAGTCGGCCGGCTGGTGCCGTGTCGGGGAGCACGAGGGGAGGAGGGGATGCACCATTGTACTCCAGAATTGTTTCACTGAGGAGGCGCAACCGATCATGATGGCGATGGTTCCTTCAATGACCCTTTATTTCCCACTCAGTAAAGATAGCACGAGAAAGGGACTTCAAACTTAGTCGTAAACTCACGCGCAGAGCATAGTAGCCAGAGTATCTGACACCGTACCCTTGTAGGCGCTCCATTTAAAATACAAGGATGCAATCGAGGCAGCAATACCACTACCGGCACAAAGGCAAAAGCAGAGTCAGTTCATTAATGTCTCTCAAGATCCTCGTCATCCCCCTCCTCCTCCTCTTCTTTTTGTTTGTCTTCTTCCGTCAGAGTGATAAGGCATCAAGAATCACGTACAGAATCCCTGAAAAAAACACCGCCATGACCGCCAGCTTCTTCTGACGGGGCAGATGCAGCGTTCGCACGAGGGGCATGGGCAAGCTGAATATCAACACGTCCTCAGCGAGCGCAATAAATCCCGAGAGCACTCCAGTGAGTGTAGTGCCTGTTGTACACACTTCTAGATCTTCCAAGGTTGCCGCGGTGATGCTGGGGTTGCAACGCATGAAAGTGGGCGCCATAACGCAAATGTATGCAACGCCCGAGACGGCTATACAGGCATAGCAGGTCCAGCGCAGCCACTTCCGGATGCCAAAGAGGCTCACATAGACCAGGAGGATCGGAACCTTGGTCGTCCAGAGCTCGAAGGCAATGAGCACTGTGATGACCACCGCCATGCGGTTGAGCCAGTTCAGGGAGTCCATTGGGCTCACGAATCCTGTGTTTCGTCTCACCGGGCATCAGTGTTGGGTGTTTGATGTAGATGAATAGAAGCTGGGAAGTTGGCTTGCAGACGAACAAAAGCAATAAAATGCATAGACTTACGCTGTATTATTATATCGTTCATAGAAAAGGCGATTGTCACGAAGGCGAATCCGAGCCAGGAGAGATCTACGCGGGTAGTTAAGGGCACGGCGTCAGCAAAATCCAGCTTTGGGGTTTTCTCGCTTGCGTTTGAAAGCCACATCAAGAGAAAAATAACATACAGTCGGCAATGAGAAGTTTTCTATGCACTCTGAGATTCATCAAGCATCGCAGGGCCACAAAGACCGCACAGAGGACTATCAGAGGCGTGCCGGCGGCCACATAGGCATCTGGTGACAAGGTGGCTTTAGTCGACATATTGAAGACTTTGGCGTCTGAGGTGTGAAACAATTGACTTCACGTGTTAATGATCGGAGTTTGGGCAGGTGAAGGCAGAAATAATAAAGTTTTGACATTGAAAGGTTCTGGCATCTCCAACAAATACCTGAGGGACCGCCGACCTGGTGCAGGTGTCAGGTTCGACTGGCCCAATCCACCAACATCTCACAGCCTCAAACAAAAGGCACTCTGGGGACCCCCTTCCCCCAACAGTGTGACAGCTTACGTCGCTAACCGCCCACATGTACCAGGAATAGGTTTGTTTGAAGGTTGGTACGCTACTTGGCTTTCCTATTGTGATTGACCAGGGATTTGCTCAGCCGGCAACAGGTTATGCACCAGCCCTTTCCAAGACGACATCATCCTGATCATTATTTCTCTGTACAGTACACAGCTTGGTCATGACTGATTCTGGTACCTTGCTACGTCTAACGAATCAAATCGGCTAGTGCCGCTCTACACATACTACAGTTCTTGAGATTAGAACGCTCGAAAAGAGGAGAAACCTCGCATGACTAGTATTGATCTATATCAGAGCTCCACCTCCGTTCTAGACATTGTTGCGTAGAAGAAAGCCGTCATTCTGTAGCTTCTGAAAAACGCCTTCAGGGTCATACTTGGCCGCCACATCATGCATCCGCTTAATATTCTCTGCCCCATAGCTGCCCAAAACCTTTTGTAAAGCGGTAGCAAAGGTCATACACTTATAATCCAGAAGGAGTCCTCTTTCCTTGGCCAGACACTGCACCTTTACAGACATGGCGTTCACGGCACCTTGTGCAGCAGCATCATCACCGTCTTTAGGCCATTCACAGGTGAAAACCCACCCTATCAGAAGTGAGTAAAGTTACATTAACCTCAATATCCAATATACCAAGAAAGGGATTAATAACATACAGGATTGTGGGATACTCTCATGACCCATGATATTCTCACCACGGTCTTTACCAGCTTGGACAGCAGCTGTACCAATTGGCTGAATGGTATAATGTAGGACGGTATCAGCTGGAAGGGCCTTACGGACCTCAACCCAGGTCTTATACACTTCTTCGTATAGTTCAGGTGAGTTCCGGGTGGTAATTGTACAAATGGATCGTCTGTATCCATATTAGTAATCATAAGAGTGAATTCCAATCACAACCAATACTTACTTGAGAGGGGTCTGGGCATGGCCCATAGCTTGAGCTAGAGACAGAAGGGTGCCGTTTGTAGAGGGCAGGACTGTTGTCATCAGGCTTTTGAGGTCGTGGAACGGCCTAAAGGTTTTCTGGGCTTCAGACTCAGCTGGATGGTCTCCATAGAGTAGGCCTACTGCAACAAAGCCATTGTTGAAATTGGTGAACAGCCCAATCTTAGGATCTTCCTCCATAGTCTGTTGAACTTCGAATGTAGCCTTGTTGATTGCCACATGATCCTCAGGATTGTAGAGGTTGATGGTATATTGGACATTTATCAACGGATGAGTTTCGAGATCAAACCGTGTGACGATACCTGTTGTGATAATGAAATTAGCCAAACTATGTCCTGAAAACAACTATGCCAGTAGGCATACCAAAGTTAGAGCCGCCACCCTTCAGAGCGCGGTAGAGATCGGAGTTTTCATTTTGATTAGCATTGATGAGGTTGCCATCTGCGAGTAAGACCTGGAGAACTTGTTAACTATGAACCCCCCTGATCCTGCCATGCCCCACACCCTACCAGACCCAAATGAGAAGTAGAAGAGGAAGAGAGAAAGGATGAGGAAGGAGAAAGAGTAAACTTAATCTTGAACTTACCTCGAAGTTCTTCACTCCATCAGCGCCGAGTCCGTAAAGATTGGGCAGAGCCCCCAAACCTCCTATTGCGAAGCAGTGAGTGACTTGATTCAAGGATAAAGAGAGAGATAGAGGGATAGGCAAGGAAGCACGCAAGCACACACACCTCCTAAGAGAAAGCCTCCCAGTCCTACCTGAGAGTCCCTCCCCCCAATGGCTGACAGCCCTCGCTCCTCCAGCCAATGATATACCTCGCCCCAGGTATTTCCCGACCCGAATCGTGCAGTTCCATGATCAGAAAGTAGTTCTTTAGACCTAAACTGCCTGATATCTAGCACCACAGCGGCTTCACCAGCACTGCTGAATCCTGCATTTGGGTTATGGCCGGTAGTGCGGATAGCAAACTTAGTACCAGTTTCTTGTACGATAGCCAGAGCCTTAGTTAGCTCCTGAACATTACCCAGGTAGACATATGCGGCCGCAGGAGTCCAGCAGGTCTGTGACCAGGGGTAGGCCACAGCAGCTTCGTACTTGTCAGCAGATTCATTGATCACCACTTTATCGGTAGAATCATCGGTAAAGATAGATCTAAGCTGGTTCAAGACAGCGGCCGCCATGATTGTTCCGTGTAGAGGTGAGGAGGGGGAATAGGAGTGTTGTTACTGGTTGATATTGAGATGGTGCTAGAGTCAAAGAAATGATGAGAACCCTTCACTTTCTTTTCTTGTCTCTCTTCTTTTTTTCGATTCTAGCACGGGGACGACTGGAGGTGTCTGGGACTTTTTAAAGTGTAAGAGATGCCTGACTGTGATCATTCACCACCCGTAATTCACACCCGCCCCCCTTCCAGGTCTCGTTTCCGGTTTCTGTCGGGGGAAGGGGGAAAGGTGTGCCCATACGTACATTGTTTGATCCACCGAAAGATGGTCAACGAGGATCCAGTGTGACTTAAGCCATACACAGACTCTCTATTTGCTCTCTCTTTGTCTCTTTCTCTCTTTGTCCTCACAAGGCGCCCCTCCCGCTCTACCCGACCCCTGTTTCTTTCCAGCTTGGGGGAATGGCTAGGGCTAAGCCAGTAAGCGCTAAAGCAGTGGTACCCATATAAGATGTAAATTGGCGCCCGCGGGGATGATCGGTCATACTACAATGTACCCCAGCACCCGCATAAGTAGCCGTACAGAGTAACCGAAAGAAACAGACTTACTTACCCAACTAAGTATCTACTATCCAGCAAACATTGCACTTGTCACAGTTGATTGGATCTATGATAGCAGTCTGTTGGTTATAATACAGTACAATAACAACCCTCACACAGATCCCAGTTATCCCGCCCCCATTTCACACTTACCCGCCGTTTGCTCACCGGGCCAGCTGGGTACCATACCCAAGTAGTTTGCTACAAAGTACCCACTGTTAGATAGGACAAGCGGCAATCTTATAAACTAACATTATTGCTCTAGGTGGTGCTGAGTAGTAACAAACAGACGCTCGCGCGAGACACTATTTGGGTCTTCTGGGGATAAGGTCAACGCGTCAACCGAAGCACCCACCGGGATTATCTGAGACTAATGAACTCCACGGGGAGGATCCCAAAGTTGCACCAGCAGTATCCTCGCTTGTTTGTTCCCTGCTTAGGCTTTTATCCTATCACGCCAACGAATCGACCAGACAAGGCTCCCCGATAACCGACTGTTGGCAATACCGAGCCTCGTGTATCTATGACAAGCAAAAATAAACTCCCCTGCTGGCTGGGCCATTCCTTGTCTGTCAATAAAGGGGGAGGGGGGGGGGGGAGAGAAACATGTAAGTAGAAAAGAAAAACAGAAAATATAGCATTGACATCCAAATTCAATCCTCCCGAACATTGTTGTGAATCCTTTGAGATGTCGGACATCGCTTCTACCAGCATGGCCGTCCGAGCCGAAAGGATTATCGCCTGTCTGGCGAAGTCTCTTGAAACACCTTATCAGGGCTCCAGCTCCATGACACCCTCGCTCTATGATACAGCCTGGGTCTCCATGGTGGCTAAAGAGGGGAAGTGGTTCTTCCCTGAATGCTTTCAGGTAGTTCTTGAGAGCCAGTCTCCGGGGGGAGGGTTTGGTGTGAACGAGGGAATGTCGCCGGCGCCGCCGCAGCAGCTAGATGGCATCCTAAACACCATGGCTGCAGTTTTAGCACTCTGTCGATACCAGAAGGATCCATCTTTCTCGATCCAGACTGGCGCTCCCAATCACTTCGCTCCTCTATCGTGGTCGAATCTACAAGACCGAATCGATCGAGCTCGGGCATATCTCGACCATGCCCTGCAATGCTGGGATGTGAGTTCCACCGTGCAGGTGGGTTTCGAGATCCTTGTGCCCAGTTTGCTGCGCTTATTGCACGATGAAGGGCTGCATTTCGATTTTCCCGGCCGCGAAGCCCTCATGGTGCTGCATCGGCGCAAAATGGACAAGATTCAACCTGCGTTAGACCTCCCCTGCCCACCGCAAACCACGCTGCTGCATTCTCTTGAGGGCTTCATTGGAAGCGTGGAGTTGGGCAAGATGGCGCCCTGTCTAACCAATGGCTCAATGATGGGGTCACCCTCCTCGACCGCCGCCTATCTAATCCATAGCCCCAACTGGGATGAAGAAGCAGAGAACTATCTCCGCCATGTCGTGGCGCACAACAATGGACGTGTGCCTTCTGCCTTTCCCATTAGTGTCTTTGAGATTTCGTGGGTAAGTGGAACCTACTTTACCATATCCAGGCCCAGTTGAATAGTTTTAACCATGTACCTCGTCTTCCTAGGTTCTATCAACCCTGCTGAGCTCGGGATTTGAACCAGATGTCTTGGGTTTCCAGAACGTTTCTAGTCTGGCAAATTACCTTGAGACTCGTCTCGCAGAAAAAAATGGGATCACCGGCTTTGGTAGGGATTCCTGTTGAATATAACTTTTCCTTTCTCTTGCTCCATCTCGCTCCATCTCAGTCAATGCTAATTACGACCTATACTGACGTGTAACCGGGACGAGAAATACAGCTCCCGGAATGCTTGCCGATGCAGATGACACGGCGAAGAGCATATATTCGCTCGATCTTCTGGGCCGACCCATTGATTGTACACCCCTGCTTCAGGCGTTTGAATGTCCCACCCACTTCAAGACGTACAGTCTTGAGATCAATGAGTCTTTCAGTGTTAACTGCAATGTGATGATTGCGCTGCTCGCATGCCAGGTGCCTTCAAAGCACCTAGCGCAGATTTCCAAGGCCCTGCGGTTTCTCTGCAGCGCTTGGGATAATGGCGAATGGAGTGATAAATGGGTAAGCTTTCTCTTCAGGGCCGATGCCTTGCCTTTGCGAACCGTGGACGCCAATCTAAGCTAATTTAAATAGAATACTGAGTCCCAATACACCATGATGCTTATGGCCGATGCTTTGTCAAGTCTGATAGAGCGCTGGCATGACGGCGCTCTAGGAGATATGGATGCAGACTACCTGGCCGAGCACGTTCCACGGGTGACCCTGCAGATCCTCATGCGAACGCTCAGTGCGCAGTCAGATGAGTCTGGTTCATGGAAGCAATCATCAGAGATCACCGCCTACGGGCTCTTGACTCTCAATCTCTGGCCAGCTTGCCGTGGGTCCGAACAGCGATAGGGATCCAAGTTGTCTACGAGTGCATTGACCGAGCCACCGAGTACCTACGCGCCCACAAGGATTGCTGGGACAGTCCTGAGCTAATTTGGGTCGAATAGGTGAACTATGGCTCCAGCATTCTGTCAGAGACTTATTGTTTAGCCGCACTGCAGCGGACGGTGCCAGATTCGACCCGTTGGGGCAAGCCGACCACAGGCCTATGCCAAGTCCCACGGGAAAGAATCCACCGATTCTGCCAATTCTTTGCTCGATTACCCATTTTCGAAGGCGAGCCGACATGGAGATTGCGAGCTTCTATTGTCGAAGGGGATCTGCTCTTCCCGGCGTTGCGGCGGACGGCACTCGAGCTGGCCATCTTCCCCTTCCCCACTGTGAATCAAACTGCCAAATACCTGGATTATATTCCTCTGACGTGGACAACCTCCAATAATGCAGCTGGAAAGTTTGGTCTCTCCACCGCCAGGATGATAGAAATGATGGTTCTTTCTCTGCTCAATTTCCAGGTGGACAAGTGGTTTGAGGAAACCACGGAGGCATCGCGCCTCCAAGGCGATTGGACAGCGCTCAGGTCCGTGATCAGGGAGATTTTCACCGAGAAAAAAGAGGAAGAGAAAGATCATGTGAAGAAACGCAAGAGGGAACAAGTGTCGCCGCCACCGCCGCAGAAACCAAACCGTCACCCTCGTCACAAGCGCCGGCAAGTGAAAAGTTTCACCGGTTATAGCACTTCTTCAATTGCCTTACAGTCCAATGGCCATAAGGGGGTCACCATGGATGGGGATCAGGATAAGATAGTCACTTTCCTAGCCGAAGTCAAGCGTACGCTCACCCGGTTCGTCCAGGGCGTGCTTCAAAGCCCTGCCGTCTCGTCGGTACCACCCGCACTGGGTCGTCGGGTCCGGCAGGAGCTCTGCACATTTCTCCTCGCACATGTCAAGCAGGGGGAGGATAGCGGTCCGCAGGCGACTAGGAGAACGGCAATGACCCAGACATATCATGAGTGGGTTCGCACCACATCAGCGGACCACACCAGCTGCCCTTACTCCTTCGAGTTCTTCCGCTGTCTCGTCGCTTCTGATACAGGCAAGGATTGCTTCACGGGTCCTCTTGCCCAGTACCTCTCCCAGGATGTCTGCCGTCATCTGGCCACCATGTGCCGTCAGTATAATGATTATGGCTCAATGGGTCGAGACCGCGAGGAGCATAACCTCAATAGCATTGACTTTCTGATGGTTGGGAAGGAGGATGACGAGAAGAAAAAACACGCAAATACATATACGGACAAGCGCTTGTTATTGCTGGAGATTGCCCAGTATGAGCGCGAATGCCTGGAACTGGCAGTGAAGCGGCTGCAGCCCGAGGTCTCCAAAGCCGCATGGAATGCATGGAAAGTTTTTCTTACCGTGACGGATCTCTATGGTCAGATTTATGTAGCACGAGATATCAATCACAAATGAATGACATATGTTGAAATAAGATAGGCAATTGACACTTCACCTCTTCTTGTTAGGTTAAACCTTAACTTTCTGTGTAGTATTTGTCCCAACAATCCTGTGCACCCCGGTGATGCATATAAGGCAGATCGATCTCACATAATTCAGCAGCATAAAATGTTTATATCAAGGCGTTACACTCCTCACTCAGCAAACTATGGGATTTCGGGTACTTTATAGATGACTATCATATAAGTGAATCTCACTAGCTCAGTGTGGGAGCCAGATTAACTAGTATCTTTAGTAAGTTGTCCAAGTATGCTCATAAGCTATGCGTGGTCTGAGCTGCATAGTTCGCTTAGTCTTTTAGCAGGCGGTTTACATTAGCATCAAGATGCAAGTAGAACTTCATGCAAAATATCTATGTAGTATAGTGACATGTCCGCTCAAGCAGGAATTCGGAATTGGAATTAATCAGCCGTTCGACATTGATTGAGACACCCATGAGAATAACCAACTTCAGACTGCCCCAATCAGATTACCATCTCTAACATTTGATTTGAGTTATGTTGTGATTTCCCGCCAGTTCGGTCTTTGCACTTCATAATATCGACCCGGACTGTCACAATTTTAAACCTACCACTTCCGGCGAACCACAATACCGTCCCCACTCCCCGCAGATCATGTATTTTTCATCATCGCCCGTCAGATCAATACACTATCGGTAACCACCAAGGTACAATATCTTCCTGCATCTACATCTACAGCTTCCACACGCCTCCACCAGCAATTGGCACCCACCTACACACCTCCCTCGCCATGCTACCACCCCCGGACATCCCCGACACTACCACCAACACAACAACCACAACCACCACATCACCCCTCCCCCTCACCACCGACAATGCCATCACCACCACCACCACCACGAAAAACCATAACAACCAGCACCACAACCACCCCCGCAAACCCAAACCGACGCTCCTCAACCCCCTCCAAAAAGGCATCACAACCTACCTAACCCACCATCACAAGGACACCACCCTCCCCATATCCTCCCTTCCCAAACGCTTCACAATCTACGCCCCCCTCCTCCTCCTCCCCGTCAACGCCCTCACCACCCCACCCGCCTGGCACACCCTCTACAGCACTTTAACGCCAACCCAAAAGACGACTCTCTACGAATGCATCCTCTCAGCCTTCTCCCGCTACAACCTCACTCACATCGCCATGAACGCCCCCATCGCCCTAACCGACGCACAAGGCACCGAGAACCGCATGCGCAGTCCCGGCGGCCTACTCCCTCTCCACGGGGACTTTGGGCCCGCGCCCAGCACAATCACAAACCTGGACTCGCCAACAGCCGAGGACCTGGGACGCGCGTTCTGGGTAAGCACGGTGCAGAATCATGGCATTGAGCAGATCTGGGCGCCTATGTATACGATGTTCTCGAGGGGGAATGTTACGGAGAAGGCGCGGATATTGGGATCGGGGATGGAGGGGTTAGCCAGGGACGATATTGAGGGGGCAGGGCGAGGGATGAGTGTGGTGGATATGTATGCGGGGATAGGGTATTTTGTGTTTTCGTACCTCCGGCGCGGGGTGAGGCGGGTTTGGGGATGGGAGATCAATGGGTGGTCTGTTGAGGGCTTACGGAGGGGGTGTGTGGCTAATGGGTGGGGGTGTAGGGTTGTTAGGGTTGGTGAGGACGGAGTGTTGGAGGGTGGGATGAGGGTGGAGGAGTTGGTGGATGGGTTGAGAGATGCGGAGGATGGGGATAAGGTGGTGGTGTTTCATGGGGATAATCGGTTTGCGGCGCGCGTTTTGGCGCAGATTAGGGATGTGATGGAGGTGAGGGGGCGGTGGGCGCCTGTTAGGCATGTTAATTTGGGATTGTTGCCGTCGTCGGAGGCTGCTTGGGGGGATGCGTGTCGAATGGTGGATGGAAGGTTGGGGGGTTGGTTGCATGTGCATGAGAATGTGGATGTGAGGCGCATTGAGGAGATGAGGGCTCGGGTCACGAGTGAGATTGGGAGGTTGAGGGGGGAGGCTTTGGAGGTGGAAGATGAGGTCGTGGCGGAGTGTCGGCATGTTGAACAGGTCAAGACGTATGCTCCGGGGGTGATGCATTGCGTGTTTGATGTCAAGGTGCCGGCGCTGGAGTTATAACATAACGCTCATGGACGCTTCGTTTGGAATGGGTTGTTGGCATTATTTCCAAGGTATAACCACCCATAAGGATGCTCGTCTCATCACACATTTATTATGTACAGTATCATCATCAACTATAACAACAACAACATAAGGAATCTAATGTACACTCATCTAAGCTTGCTTGAGGAACTTCTGCGGTATGTTGGCCTCGACGATCTGCATGCTCTCGAGCTGCTCGAGACGCTCCATCGCCAGATCTTCCTCGTCGTGCCGCCGGAAGTGCTCAATGTCTTCGGGGTGGGTGAGCTCCTCCTCTGTCGCGTCTTCGCCATGGTACTTCTCGAAGTGGTGGATCTCGTACTCATACTCAATGTCGCCGTGGTGGCCCGGACCAAACCCCAGATCGGGCAGCCGAGTGCCCTCGCCGATGATGCGCATCCAGTTGTCGCGGGTGATGAAGCCAGTATTCGTGGGGTCGAAGAGAGTGAACACTTCTCTTAGAGCTTGGCTCTTGTGATCCTCCGTGGCACCTGCGTTCGTCTCATCGTCCATACCGTATGTCTTGCGCACTTCCTCGGGAGTCCATGCCCCGGATTCATCATAGTCGTGAAGAGAGAAAAAGGAAGCAGCGTCGAAGGCATCAATGTGGTGCTCCTCTGTTTAATTGGGGCCAGAGAGTCAGTCACACGATCAATTGCTTCCCTTTCAAGACGGATATCAACATGATAGATAGTGGTAGTAGTAAATACCTTGCATATGCCGGGTGGCCCAATCCGACGAGGGCGGCTGGTCGGGGTGAGAACCGTGGGCACTCACCAAGCTGCCGCTCAGGGCCAATAGAGCAGTAGCGAGGACGACGAGCATTGTCGGGTGAGAATATACTTATTTATAGAGCCACGAGCGGCCAGGCGAAAATCCGACGAGTCGTAAAATTGCAGAATGAATGAGATCTCGCGAATGTGACAGATCGCCGGGAACAAAGAAAGGGATGGCTGATTCCATTCCAAACCAAACCAAGTCAGTCAGTCTTTAGTCTTGGTTCCAACAGCTGGAAGTTCCCCCGGTTTGTTTGGTTTGCATTGCCGGTGGTCCGACTTTCGTTTAGCCGGTTTTGGATCATCATCAAAAGATTCTCGACCTTCCGCCCCGATATTTCCTCCCCCTCCGACCCCCTTCATTTTTCCCCCCCACGACATCGATTTTGTCCCGCCATTGGTCGTCGGATCCTTGTGATCAATCAATTGGTCACATTCCCCATCCTCTGATTCTCGTCATTGGAGTCGGTTCACGGCAGAAATGACTTGAGAATGCAAGGTCTTTGGTCCCGCGCCGCTCCGGCGCAATCCACCTGCCGCTGCGTCTCTTGCTTAAGTACTGTCTCCAATGGGGTGGCCTCGAGAGGTACTTCGGCTGCCAGCAAGAAACGCCTCCGGCTCGGAAACTCGGTAACAGCACTATACACCAGCATCTTCGCCGCCGCCGCTTTGGCAGACGCCCAGGCCAAGGGCCAGCGCCGTCACGAATGGGAGGAAAAGATCGCGGCAGTCAAGGAAGAGGTCATTGAGCTGGTGGATGAGGAACAGCGTCTGGTGGAGGCTCTAATGTCGCGTCGGAAGCAGGGATTTCTCAATGGAACGTTACAGACTAGACAGTTCAGCACAGCGACTCGCCCGGCACCTATGAGATACCAATGGCCCAGGAGGAACGCACCGTTCGCATCTTTTCACTCAACGACTGCCTTTGCGAATGAGAGGGATAATCAGATAATCCGTGATCTGGTCGCAGAGAGCGAGGATCCGCTGGCCGAGGACGCGAATGAGGACTATGGCCTTTCGCTGGAGGATGATGATACGCCCACATGGCTTACTGGGGATGTGGTTCGCCAGAAGGTCATCCGGAAGCTCGCGCTTAAACAGCTGGCCATTAGACTTCTGTTGCGGCCGGCAATTGCCCACAGCTATCAGGGGGTTAAGATGAACTACAGTGCCGACTTCTCAATACCCCAATTGAGAGTGCCGCAGTTGCTAGCGGAACTGAACAGCCTTCGACGCAGGATGCGTCAAGTGAAGGGCTCGGAGAAGGCTAATATTGATGATTTAGCCAAGGACCTCCGCGTGCACTCGATACGACACATGACGGAAGAGCGGAATCGGCTCGATCGGGACGTCCAGCGTGATACCGAAATCTATATGCGGAATGAGATGCCCTTGCAGGAACTCCTCCTCCGGCTAGCCAACAACCTGATGCAGTGCACGGATCCGGACCGGCCAGAGGTCATAAAGAAGATGATTCTTGCGTTCACCAAGACCCGTCAGAACGATCTCTGTGATCTGATCTTGAAGACTATCCTTCCACACAAGTTCCCGCTCAGCGCCTCTCTCATCCTCACAATCCTTACGTTCTTCCGCAAATCCAAGAACCTCATGGGTTTTGACATCTTCCTGGAGATGTTGAACGGACACGGCTATCCAGTAGACATGAACGGCTTGGGTCTGTATCAGCGCCAAGTGGTCAATGGAGTTGAGATCATCGTCCCACCAGTGGATTCAGCGAACCCCGTCATCTATGCCACACTTATTGTGTCTTGTCTACGCTTCGACCAGCCGGATCGTGCCGATGCATACCTCCTAGCTGCAAGATCGGCTGGGCATATGGACGACTTTGCAATCCTCAACTCTTACCTGCGGTTCTGTGCTATCCGCACCGACTGGGAAAAGGGAGTCCAGACCCTAAAAAGAACACTGGCGTTCATGGTCTCGTCGACAGAGCACCAGCTCTTCCGCCTTGAACGACTTATCGTACTAATGGTACACATGTGCGATGCCTGTGAGCAATACGACATGTCCGAAGCCATCATCACATCGGCCATGAACAGCGGTTTCAACTGGGAAGCAGCCAGCAAGCAACTAGACATCAAGTCTTCCCACGACCCCTACCACAAGAGATGGTCATCGGCAGCGGAGGCCGCACCAAAGGATATGCAAGAGAAGCTCGCATGGGAGAAGGCCTACGCCTTCGTGAACGTCATGAACGAGCGTCTGAGCGCTTACGAGGGCAAATCGCCCTCCAAAAAGTGGCAAGACATGATAGAGCTCTACTCGCAGCAGGTCCTAACCGCCATGCTGGCCGGATCTCCAGCGTCAGCCAACGCCCCTCAAGTCCCCGAGCAAGTCTTCGAAGACAAGGACCGCCAGAGCCTGCTCCAAGAAATCAGCAGACAGGTCGAAAAAGCCAAAAAGGAGAACGAGTCCACAGCCGCAGCCCAGGAACAAGAGATCACCTCCCTGAAGGCCGAAATTTCACAACTTAAGCAAATGGTCTTCGACCTCCACCAGACCCGCAAGCAGGAGTCTACCATACCGTCGCCCCCTCCTTCTCCCCCTCGCTCTACCCACCACCAAGACCACCTCCTCCGTCGAAAACACGAACATATTGCTCCTGCGCCGGAACTCGAGTCTTCTTTCAACAAAGTCAGTATTCGATACATGAAGTCGTAGACTCAGCCCCCTTGACCTCCTAAGGCACTCTACGCTACTCTCTGGGCCACGAATAATTACGTTTCTCAGAGCATCCTCCTATTCCCCCTTTTCCCTCTCCCCCCCAACTCAAAATCCAGATGGAACATACTCCCTCCGTATACCCATCCCATCCTATACCTACACCTACCTTATACCACTCATGTACGATGAAAGTATCGATGATAAGCTCGCCAACCTCTGGCCGGCATTCGGATTGCTTTGAATGTTTTTATATCTCTAGGTGGTATGATATATGCTACCCGGGACATTTTGTACAGTATTCATACTATAGCTTGTACTCTTTCTTTTCTTTATCATTTTATTTTTGTTGTGATGATAAATAAGGGTTAGAATTGAGCGTTGGATTCCTAGTCCCTTGAATTGGTATTATCCGGTCCAGACTATTGAATGGAGTGACGAGGTTGTCAGTTTTGCATAAAGTTACTAGCGGAGTAAAGTCTGCTGTTCCGTCATTTAATTGTACTACTGGACGTGGGCATTTCGATTAGAGGTCTAATGACTACAATCTACATTGGGGTGAAGTTATGTGTACACTACATGTCACGGGACAAACAATCTCGCTTTCTAATCCGTACCCCTATCTAAGTCCGGAGGTAAATTTGTTGAAGTGAAATAAGTACTGCAAAGTCCCCGGGAAGACCAAAGTCCGTAACAGAGTAAGAAAAAGCCCGGAGACATGAAAGATAATATAAAGTAACAGACGAAAAGTATAAGTACTGTGAATAAGATATATAAAAAAAAAGAAATATGGAAAAAGGAAGAACCGGATACACCCTTTTTAATTGAGCTGCATGATTATCATGGGCATGAAATAGAAAAAAAAACATGATCTATAGATATCGTGACAACAAAGAATTAACCTAGTCTATCGTCTTCTGCTGGAATCAGAACGCATTTTCTCCTTGCGGGAAAGTCTCTCGGCGGCGCGGAGGAGGGAGGAGCGGATCTCGCCCTTGGGGAAGCCGGAGATGTCGTAGTAGGTGGGTGCGATGTCCTGGTTGACGCTGGGTTAGTATCGGTCTGGGTGTTGGTGTTTGGTAGAAGAGTTAAGGAAAGACTTACAATGAGCCATTCGGGCTTGACGGCCGTGACAGTCCGAATGTAGTTCTTGGTGGTGAGAACGAATTCGTTGTAGAGAACCCATTCTGCTTCGTGGCCCAAGACGGTCGAGGGGTGCAAAAGAACGTTCTGGTTGTCCTTGATCGTGACATACATGTTCTTGCCCTGAGTCTCCTTCTTGGCGACCTGCATGAAGAAGCCGGCGCACAGCGCACGGCGAATGTTTTCGTAATACTTCTTGTCCTCGAAGGGGGTCGACACCATCTCGAGTTCCTCACGCTCCATGATGCGCAGAAGCTGCATGCGCACGTTGTCTGCGGATTGCAGCGATCTCAGAGAGAGGAAGTGGTCGTGGCACCATTGCTTCAAGTTCTCCTGCGCTTCAGGGCTCTTGAAGGCATGGTAGACATTGAGAAGGGTAAGGTGGTCACCGTCGGGGTGGGCGAAGAGATCCTTCATCTCATCGGCACGCTTCCGCTGAGAAGCAGGTCTGACGAAGACTTGCGGGACGGAAAGCAGGGCTGTGATAGAAAGAATTTCGTTGGAGCAGTAGAATTCGGGGGAGCTGATCAGCATCACAGCAAGTGCGGGATCAAGGGGAAACTCGGAGGCCAAGCGACCCAGCTGAGTGAGGTTTCCATCATCGTCCAAGCAAGCCAGATAGTTGAGTTCCTCCAAAGCTCTCATCAGAGTCTCCGGAGCAGGGGGATCCATCAGATCGAAGTGGACAAGATCATCAATGCCTAGCTTCTTCAACTCCAGCACGGTGGAAGAAAGATTGGAGCGCAGAATTTCGGGGTATGTCTGGTCGATAAGTTCCTTCTTAAAGGCTCCTTCAGTGTACAGACGGAAGCACTTTCCGGGGCGCGTACGACCAGCACGACCAGCTCTCTGTTGTGCGGAGGCCTTGGAGATAGGAGACACCAGAAGAGACTCGACACGGATACGGGGGTTGTAGATCTTCTGCTTCGAGAAACCGGGATCGACGACGTAGACAATACCGTCGATGGTAAGCGAAGTTTCAGCGATGTTGGTGGACACAATGACCTTCCGGCCGGGACGGCCTCCCGGACGGCGGGCAGGGGGGGCCGGTTCGAAAATGCGCTGCTGCATATGCGGGGGCAGACTACCGTACAGAGGGTAGACCTTGATGGGACCGGCATCGGCCTCTCTTACCATTTCATCGGCTTCTAACGAGATCTTCCGTGAGGCGTCTTCAATTTCTTCTTCACCAGTCAAGAAGAGAAGGATATCACCTTCGTCTTCTGTCGCGTGGATCTGCAGGACGGTGCGAATGGCAGCTTCGACGTAGTCCTGCTCGGGCTCAGGGGTATAGAAGATCTCGACAGGGTGAGTACGACCGGGAACCGCAAGGAGAGGGGCATCGTTGAAGTAACGCTGGAACTTCTGTGCATCCAGAGTAGCAGACATGATAATGATCTTCAGGTCAGGCCGGCGCAGCACAACTTCCTTGAGAAGACCCATGAGGACATCAGTAGCCATTGTTCTCTCGTGGGCTTCGTCCAGAATAATGGTACTGTAGCGGTTGAGGTTGTGGTCGTTCATGGCTTCTCTCAGAAGCATACCGTCCGTCATGTACTTGAGCACAGTCTTGGAACTGGTCATATCTTCGAAACGGATGCTGTAACCGACTTCCTCTCCAAGCTTGACATCCAGCTCGGCGGCGACACGTTGAGCGACGGACATGGCGGCGACACGACGAGGCTGGGTACAAGCAACCATCTTGCGCTGAGTTTGCGGCATGTCATCAAAGAGGACGAATTGGGGAATCTGCGTGGTCTTTCCGGAACCAGTTTCACCGACAAAGACCAGAATCTGCGACTTTTGGTAAAGCTCCAAGAATTCATCTCTATAGAAAAAACATGGTTAGAACCCTTTTGCGATGTAGCAAATCATCTGCACAGGTGTTGAAAACTCACCTCTGAGCATGTACGGGCAGATCGCGACGAGTCTGCAAGATAGAAACATATTTGCTGGAGAAAGGTTGACCGTTGAACGGGTTGATATCGCCATCTTCCACCTTCTTAGCCAGCGCAGCGGTGGTCTGGTGCCTCTTCATCTTCCCAAAGGCGGGGTGAAGATCTGTGGTGCCATCGGTCCATGTGTTGGAGTTGCCGTTGTCCGCATACATGTGAGCCAGGTACGGGTTGTCCTTGGGATCGGTTTCAGACTTGTCCATCTTTTGACGTTTAGCACGCGAGCCGTTTTCAGAATCCGATCGTCGATCAACCATGACGGCTAGCAGAGAGCGAGGCCGGGAGAGAAATTGGGGGGTGTGAAGAGGAGGAAAGAAGTTGGCTGCGGAGCGACAAACGAGAGATGGGATTGTCGCCGAACGGCTTCAGAAAAAAAAGGCGGCCCGGATAGGCAGGTTGGCCGCCCGTCGCCACAGCTGCATTTTCCGCGCCTCACCGCCCTGTATTCTGCCGCTGGAAACCCCACAGAAATCGCTTACCGCCGGCAAGGGGCATCCAGGCATCCAGGCATGAAAGAAAGTCCGTCGCGATGCACGTTTGCTCAGGTACGCGGGGCTATCCAGGAGCCCATTGTCGCGCGACGTTCCCACTGAAGGGGCGTTTAATTTCTCGGTTAGCATCCCTACGCGACTGTACCTCCTCCTTTGCTCTCCCATGTTTGTTGCCGTTCTTATATCAGAACCTGCCTGGCCTTGAGATGAAAACTGCCGGGAAACTCAAACTGATCTGCGATGCGGGACTAACCAGCTACTACCTAGATAGAGACCGTTGTCAATATTCATCGCCTTTCCTTCCCTATATACAGTTCGATTAACGATTTTCTGCCTCATGATCTCTGTCTATGTGTCTGCTGTTTAGTTGCATTTAACTTTGTCATATCGCCCCGTCACCAGGTCCCAGTGCCCTTTTCTCGTCTTAGAATATCCGCCGTTGTCGAACATGGACTCTTTCAATCCAGAAGACATGGCTCCTAGCTTTTGCATCGGACAGCATGAAACCAACCGCAAGAACCCAATCACGGCTGCAATTGTACAGGCAGCTCATGAAAGCAATGTACGCATATCGTGCAAATTCCGGCTCATGTGCTAACTTGGATCGCTCAGTATGACATGCTTACGGCACCAATTACCACGGAGGCCTTCCATTCTCGCATCCTCACCCTGTTAGGCTCCAAACCAAACGCTCCTTTGACTCCGGCTGCCAATGGGACATTGATGACGACCGACAATATGCGCCCCATCGTTATCCCTCCCTTAACTCCCGCGGATAGCCACTTGACCCCGGATGAGACGATGTCGCAGATAGTTGGAGTCACCAGCGGTTGGATCGATCTATGCTCACCGGATCCCCTAATTGCAGACATCTCGCGTCAGGTGTTCATGCGGGAGGTCGCGTATGCAGCTTTTTGTGGCCTTGGGTACCTCTTGATTCCTGGCCCGAAACTGCACCACGGAGAGTTCCATGCAGAAGGCGTGAGCTATTATGCGAGAGCTATACAGGATGCTATCAACCTCGCTCCTTACATACAGTTTCACATTTGGATGCCTATGGTTGATAACCCAGACTTGGAAGTAGATGGAATAGCTGATCTGTCTCGCCTTGCCCGTCAGGAGTTCCTTGGAGAACCGCTCACAGGGCAGCCATTGCGAGTGGATCCTTTTGGCACTTGGGATGCTTGGGACATGATACGAAGAACTTGTAAATACCACTCCAGGCTTGTCGTAGGTAAGATAATCTCCCATGGACTTCATTTTGCGTGTCGTACCTGCTGCTAAGATGATGTGATTAGCACTTTCAATGCCTAAGCACCTCCCTCCCATGTCCGTGCAGTCTCGCTGGTATTCCGAGCCTGTTCACATGCTCACCTTTGATGCCAACACGTTCATCAAGAACCAAAAGGGCTATCCCGTACTGTCTAAGACACACCAGGCGCTCATCGGTCGGTTCATGCGCCTACGGACATCCCCATGGATCCTTCTTTGCGATGTTGGCCCAATCCCCGGCGTAGATGAGCAAGAAACTACAGGAACCAAACTCCCCGCTCTGTCCGGCTCTGATTATCCTAGTCTCACTCAGGCCGCGGTATCCAACAAGAAGCATTATGACCCGACCCCTCATCTTTCCTACCTCAGAAATCTACAACAACGCCAGCCTTCTAGGAGCGCCATGGAGAGATTTGGAGTTGGATACCAAGACTATCTTCAGGCACCCTTGCAGCCGTTGACTGTCAACCTGGAAAGCATTACTTATGAGGTATTCGAGAAAGATCCTATTAAATACAAATGGTATGAGCGCGCGGTCGCCAAAGCTCTTACCGACTGGGCAAGTGAAGGGAAGCCAACTTCGAACCCCGACGGCCGAGTGGTTGTGGCCGTGGTTGGTGCGGGTCGAGGACCGCTCGTGTCGCGGGCGCTCCAAGCCAGTGTCGAGACTGGGGTCAAGATTGACCTATGGGCAGTTGAGAAGAACACCAATGCTTTCGTCCTTCTCCAACGCCACAATGAGCAGAAATGGGGTGGACAAGTCAAGCTTGTGCAGTCGGACATGCGAGCCTGGAAAGGCCCGCAGGTTGAGAAGCAGGGTGACTCAGGAGCACAAACAGGACCGGTAGGGCAATCCCTTGGGATCGAAGATTCGTTACTTTACAATGCCAACGAGGAGCAGGAATCGGCACAGACGTCTGAATCAGCAGCCGCGCCCCCCATCACCGAGCTTGTTCCCACTACGATCGACATTCTGATCTCAGAGCTGCTGGGCTCGTTCGGCGACAACGAGCTTTCGCCAGAATGCCTTGACGGCGTCACGCACTTACTCAATCCTGTTCACGGTATCTCCATTCCGGCTTCCTACACGGCTCACCTTACGCCCATCGCTGCGCCGAAGCTCCATGCCGATGTCATGAATCAATCCGTCTCTAACCCAGCAGCGCCGGAGACGCCGTATGTGGTCATGTTACACGCGATCGACTTCCTCTCCACGAATCAACCCTCTGCAGCTACACTAATGAACTCCAGCCATGGGGGCGCTAAATATAGTGCCCGAGACTCAATCTCCACGCTACCGGGTTCTGGAGAAGCGCCCATCCCATTCGTGCAGACGACCTGGTCGTTTGAGCATCCCAACCGGCATATCCCCCCTCAGTTGCCGACCACGTCAACGATCTCCAATTCGCATAACGTGCGCCGGACTCGTCTGTCATTCCCAGTCTACAACCGCGGAGTGTGCCATGGCCTGGCGGGGTACTTTGAGACGGTGTTATACCGCGACATCGAGCTGTCCACCAACCCTGTCACAATGGACACCAAGAGTGCCGACATGATCAGTTGGTTCCCGATCTACTTCCCATTGAAGGTCTGTCTTTCCTACATATTAGCTTTACGACGCGGGATGCTAACAATCTGCTATCCACAGACCCCTCTGAATGTGCCCGACAATGGCGAAGTGGTGGTGACCATGTACCGGCAGACCGACGACCGCAAGGTATGGTATGAGTGGATGGTGGAAGTATTCGCCGTGGAAGGCAACGAAGAGGAGGTGGTGATGAGTGGGGGCAAAGGCACATCTCCAGCGGCTGGCAATCTGCAGCGACAGCCCCAGCGATCACGTGGCGGGCGACGTGTCCGGGTTGGGACGAGCGAGCTGCACTCCAGCATCAAGGAGGGTTGCCTCATGTGATGCGGTGAAGTGTAGAAGAAAAAGAAGGGAAGGCTGCAGAAGCAGACGAATCTGACTAAGATGTGATGATGGACATTTTTCTTTTCCCAAAATTTACATATGATGAAGAGTAGTCAGCATACCGAGTACCCTACTAAGTATGAATTATTCCGATCGAGAAGGATTGATGATCGCCGAAGAAGGCCTTGTAAGAAGTCAGCTCAGCTGCAGCCGATCTTCAGCCGTCCGCTTCGGTCAAGACTAGGTAAAGTTGCATCGTAGCCTGGCTGGCTGGACTTGCACGGATTTTAAGCAACTACATAATAAGCAACTAGCTACTAACTAAATAACTAACTAACTAATCCCATCTGACGTGATAGTTAATCTTGCTTAGTAGTTCAGATCAAAAAGAAAACCTTCCAAAAAGAAAGTAAGAAACCCAAACCTAAATCCGAACCTACTATCATATCTTGTCCTCCCCCAACAATCCTATTTGTTTTGTTCGTGTTTGTTTGTACAAATATTGGAGGACCAAACCACCCATCCATTGAAATTGATTGACAAGGGCCCAAAACCCACCGTCTGCCTCACTGCAGATGAAAAGGCTACCATTGGTTCCTCCCCGATCGAGCATAGTACTTATGGAGAGGAAGAAAGGTGCACTAATGTATCTGTGCGTCTTCTCCCCCCGGATGGGTACTCGTTAGTAGGACGTGGCTTCGTCTCATTTGGAAAATGTTGAGAAGAATGATGGAACCGAACTTTTTTCCCCTAATCTTGCATGACTTTAGTTTACTTGGCTTGGTTACGCTTGTGCATAAAGTATGCGTTATGTATACTGTAGTACGCAGTACGCAAGTACGGAGTAGTAGATCCCGTATCTATTTAGTATCTAGGTACTTGGTCCCATTGCCCTGCTTAAGAATACAGAAGGGGGCTGAATACAGTATGTTTATCCCCAGCAGATAACGTATTGGCTGTGCATTCTTCTTCTTCTTCTTACTTTTCCTTATATTCACATAGATAGTTACCTACTAGCTGTAGGTATCCATGTCCCTACTACCTTAGTAGTTAAGAGTAGTAGTCGAGTAGATAGTCTTGGCTTGGCTTGGCTGGCTGGACCATACATACATACAGTTACACGAACTAGTACTTCGCAGTAGACAGATTCTATCTATCTATCTATCTATCTATCTACCCATCTACTGCCGGGGGGGGAAGGCGCAGTACATGCAGTTGAAGGAGGAAAGCCCAGATGTAGATCGGAACATGTAGCCAAGCCAACCAGACGACCACTAGTGCGACAGGACTATTCGGACCAAGAACTTCTTGGGGCGGAATGGGACAGACAGTTGGGGGTTTTGCGGATCATTTCTCTCCTTCCTTCCTTCCTTCCTTCCTTCCTTCCTTCCTTCTTCTTTCCAGGCTAAATTGTGTTTAATCCTTCTTGGAACGGAAAGGGGGGTATGTCCGTCTGGGAATAAGGTATCTACTACTCCGTACTGTTGGGGGATGTGCTCTGCTCGGCGCGGCAGGGCGGGCAGGGCGGGCAGGGCAACGTGATGCAACGGACCCCTGTGGTTGGTGTTATCGGCATGAGGAAAGAATCATTCCGATTCGATTGATGTGAATGAAGCTGCGTGGGCTTATCATTACTGTCTATTTGCAGTGAGTGATGATGAGATGGGGCTGGACTGGGCTGGGCTAGACATTCTCTCTCTTTCAGTTCCAATCTAGGCCGGTGAAGGCGTCATTGTTATCCAAGCGTTGAGAGGGAGGGGAGGGGAAGGTATACAGTGAGTGAGTGAGTGAGTGGGTGTGATAGGTAGTTAGTCCACCGTTCTCCGTAGCTTCCTGTAAAGTCTGTAACTCTGATCTGGTTGCTACTAGTATCTTCTAGTGTGTATCGGTTAGAAGGCCCGACTCCCAAGCGTGGTGGGAAGTTGGCCGTAGTGTCCGGTTTAGTTATTCTTAGCCATTCATCTTATCTTGGGAGGGCGCTGGTGCCTCCCACACTAAATGCCTATTGAGTAGTATGTACATCCACCCAAACTTCCAGCCACCCGGGGAATCCACACCGTCTGGGATAGACCTATTACTCCTTCGGCTTCCTGTCACGGGGAACAATTATAGTTCTAGCTGTCCTCTCCCCGGCGTTCTCTTTGGCCGGATTTTATATTAATGGGGGTGCGATGAGCAGCTGGAGGAGGATAAGCTTGCTGATGATGATGCTGATGTGATGCTGATCCTGTTACTTGATATTGATGATTCAGAGGAACATGATAAAGTCGCCCCTCTTCCAAATCTCCATAATATTCTTCAGAAATAGTCCGGAGTTAAGCGCACGCCGAAGGGCGGCCGAACCAAGGGGGGGGAGACCTCCGACAGTCGGGCGGAAGGGGCCCGTCTGGGAGCAAGCTGCAGACCGGTACTAAGTAGATTACCCTCCATGAAATTCCCATGGATGATTGCTTGGGAGAGACTCCGCCGGGGGTGGAAATAGAGTCCCTGCTGGAGACCCCCGTAATGAAACGGTTTGCGTTCGTCTTCCCCCGGTTTGTCTGGGCGTTCGGAGCTCCGAGGGTCTGTCACACCTTACCTTACGGTATCAGCCATTCATGCTCCAAACCCACATCCCGCCAATCCTCCCCCTCCGTTTCCCCCATACACGCTCAGTCCAAAAAAGTAACTTAACTTACTTGCCTCCATCCACGCCCAGAGGCGAAAAAAAAAGGGAAGTAAAAAAAAAAAAAGGGAAAGCAAGTGGAAAAAAAAAAAAGAAGACACCACACCCACCACACAGCCTCTCCCTCCCACACCTTTCTTCTCATTCATCATCCTGCAGCCTGTCAGCATCACCCTGTCTCTGCGACCGCAACGCACTTCTTTTACTCGTCCTTTTCCCTCCATGATTGCCTGTGTGTCCTGTTGCTCGACCATCGCTTCGGAGGTCGTGGGTTGACGCAGCTCTTTTCCTATTTACCTACCTACTTTACCTCTTTCTCTCTGACTACGACTACTTCAATCTCCACTCCCCCGGCGACCTATTTGACTTGTCTTCGGATTCCCTCCGTCGCGCTTCCGACCGGTTTCTTCTTATCAGTCCCTCCTCCCGCCGATTTCTTTATTTCCTCCCCAAACCGGAATCAACATCACTCTTTGTATCCCACCCTACAATTGTCGGCTTGTTGTACCCGGCCTGAAATGGTTCACTCTACGAGCGAGGAACGCGCTGTACATTTGACACGGGAGGCTGTTGAGTTAATTGATGCTGGGCATCGTGAGGTATGTCTGCTCTGCTCTCTTTTTTTTCTTTATCAGACCCCGCTGGATGGTTATCATCCGTCGCCAGCATAGGTATCTTCGTGCCATGTGACTAACCACTCGCTCGTGATGTCATTGCAGGCCGCCTCACGAAACCTCCGAGAAGCCCTCTCCTTGGCTCCAGAGCATCCGGCAGTCAAGGAAGCTTTTGTTAAGATTCAGCAGGAAGAGGAAAATGGCCATCACCTGCTAGACCTCTGTCGACGCTATACCGGTGGCAAGGACGAGCCCGCGGGCAAAGACGCCGCTCTCTATCTCCGTACCGACGGACTCAAGCCTCCCGAGGAGGTTGCATTGGAATGTGTCAAGCTCCTGCTGGCGCAAAGGCCCCATGCCTTGTCGTCGCTGCAGGATGACATTATCTCGGGACTGGTTCGCCAGAACACCAGCGTGCGACGCTACTTCTCAGAGCAGCTCCAGGTGTCGGTGACCACGTTCTTCGATGAGATCTATGAAAGAGGCGACGGGGCTGCCGTATGCCTCGACACCGTTGTCTTGGACCCCACTGTATGGCCGTCCGAAGATGCTCGTCTACACTGTGAGCGCGAGCTTTTCTTGCTTTTCATTGCCAAGCTCATGGAGTCGGGCCACGACATGGACGGTCGCTCTCTCAAAGGAATTGCACGTTTGCTTGCCGTCGATGCGGCGAAGCTGCAAGAATTGGTTGACGATGAAGGACTGGACGTGATCCTGTCCTCTCTGGACAGCCGGCTTCCCCTCGAGTGGAGAAGTCAGGCGACCCTAGCAACCGTCAAGTACCTCGAAATATCCAAGCAAGTTGGCGAAGAGAGGTTCTCTCGGCTCGTAACTGCCAAGGTCGTCAAGGGTCGCAGCGATGATCTCATCGAGGCATTCTCGGCCACGGCTGCAGTCTTCCCCGTGATACCAGAAGTCGCGGCCAACCTCTTCCTGTCGGAGAGCTACTTGGCCGCTTTGGCGCCTTTGACCTCCCGAGACGCGAAGAGCCGCAAGGTTGAGCCCCATTTTCTGGAATTGTTGAATGCTGCGTGCATGAACAAGGCCTGTCGGGAAGCCATTTCAAAGCATCTTTCGACCTGGCTTTCCCATCTTCTCACCAATGGCTGCGACGAGAGCTCCGAGATGGCCGCAGTCATTCTGGCCAAGGTCCGTACTGCTGCCCAAGTTGGTTCTTCCGACTCCAACGGCAAAGTAGAGGAAGAAAACAGCCGGGTCACCGAGCTCGTCGATCGCTTCAAGGACTTGATGTCGAAGCGTAAGACTGAGAACCTGTCCAACGTGATCGAGGGCTTGGCCTACGCATCAGTAAAGTCCACTGTCAAGGAACAGCTCGCTACAGATGTGGCATTCCTACAGGATCTCGTCAAGATTCTGCGCGAAAACTGCGCCGATTCGTCAGTGCTGTACGGTGGTCTCATGATCATTGTGAACCTCACACAGTTCCCACCCACTTTGACAGAAGAGCAGAAGAAAATGTCCCAACTCAAGTCTTATGCCGAGGCCTCTCCTAGCGGAGCCCGAGCCAAGCCAGACCCCCTTGATGACGAGCAACATGTCATCGCACGTTGCAATGCGCTTATCAAGGCTGGTGTCATGCCTCTACTGGTAGATTGCGGCAAGACGAATCTCTCCTCGGTGCAAGGTCTCATGGGCAAGATCGTCCTTGCCCTGTCATGGGACCGAAAGTCTCGGGGAACCTTGGCACAGCAAGGTGCTGTCAAATTCTTGCTCGTTATGGCAGCCGCAAAGCAGGGGGCCCCGGGGACAAACGCCACCGAAGCGGTACAGAATGCGTCGCAAGCACTTGCACGAATTCTAATTTCCGTCAACCCGGTCCACGTGTTCCCGTCTTCTGGCTTCCCCCAGATCACATCCGCTATCCGGCCTCTGACCGCGCTTCTGGTAAGCCCGGAGACGACTAGCATGACGGCGGAACAACCGCGGAATCTTTTACCGGTCTTTGAGAGTCTACTTGCTCTAACGAACCTGGCCTCTCACCCGGATGAGACTGCTCCTGAAGCTATCGTCCGTCAAGCCTGGCCCGTAGTAGAGGACCTCTTGCTCTCCAGTAGTCCTATGGTTCAGCGAGCTGCCTGCGAACTGATCTGCAATTTGATGACTTGCGAGTCCGGTATCGTCAAATATGCCGATGGGTCGAAGCGCGCTGCGCAACGGCTGCATGTGCTGTTGGCTCTCACCGACACGGACGATATGGCAACCCGGAGCGCTGCTGGTGGAGCTCTTGCGATGCTGACCGAATTCGAAGCAGCCATTGCTGGTATCCTGGAACGGCCTCGGGGTGTCCCGTTACTGTTGGCCATGTGCCAGGAAGAAGATGAGGGTTTAGTGCACCGCGGTGTAGCCTGTGTGCGGAACATGACCTGCCTCGCCACGGGGGATATTGGCCGGCGGGCCAAGGAAGCCATCAAGGCAAACGGAGGAGTTAATATACTGAGCAGTGTGCTGAAGAAGACGAAGAACCCCGCGGTACTTCAAGTCGGGGTCGAAGCCTTGAAGCCATTGGTCGAATAGATAGCCGACAACCGAGCGGCGTGCTTTGCTGGGGTATCTTCCGGCGGTTAATACATTTTTCTTGTTCCTTTTGGGTGATTTGGATTTGATTGTGATAGCGGTCATGTCGATTTTGCAAGTTCATGGGCTGGGTCTCTGGTTTTATTGGTGTTCTCTCACATTCAATGTTGTTTTTATGAAGATTTCCCTATGGCGTTGGTAGTTTACTTGCCCGGTGTTGTGTTCTTCCTTCTCACGTCACGTTTTGTGACCGATGTCAATTTGTCTATAAATCTGGGTTGTTTCTGAGCGTGGGAATGGTGTCCGGGTCAGTGTCGACAAGAATTTCATGCGATATGAGGGATTATCAAGTGGGATTCCCTTTTCTGACAGCGCGATAGACCCGGTCGACAGGATCGTTGCCGTGTCTGATTTACCCAAGTAACTATCTACTCGTTCTAGCTGAATGATACTCACGATGCAATGCGCGGTTTTTTTTGGAGGACCCCGTCGGAACCAGAGTGTCCCGTTCGGAAGCGTCCGGATCCTTGTCTCTGCAGTCAGCCCTGATAGGAATCGATGGATGTTGGGATGGTGTCGCACTGGCCTCGACACCAGAACACGCCACTTGGAGCGGGGCTCACCATAGCATTTGTGTCCCGTGTAGATGCTTATTATGTTGCAGTAGGAATTCAGGTCTATCTTCCTAGATGAATATTCCACAGTTCTGGAATGGATACTTTATTGCGGCCTCGTACTACAGAGTCGTTGGGATGCCGCTGATAACCGAGAAACGTCGGTACACTATTCACAAGCTACAGAATCATATATATACTAGCTCGCGAAGGTCCATGACTTTTGTAAGTTTGGCTGATGCTAACCCCCAGTCTAGTAGTATTGAGTAGTACTGTCCTTACTAGTTTACACAACGAGCAGGGTACTATCCGTTATGGAGGGGAGGGGAAAGGAAAGTGACAGATGATAAGCTTTCCCGCTGGTCGATCGTTAGAAAAAGGGAGCTGAGTGGATGAGGGCAGTGATCAACATGAAGTGATAGATACTACATCGGAGGGGGAGGGTGTCGGAAGCAGATGGTTGATGGACTAGTACGTAGTACATGGTCTGCTCCCCACCCAGTTGATAGGTACTTTGTAGTAACCTAATAATATGATTTATTAAGACGAAACCTGAGCAATCAGTAGCATTCCCCTCCAAAGACTAAAACCCTCCGACGAGTGATCACGATATGGAATATCGGAGGAAGGAGAAACCAGAGTCAGGAACCACAACCAGCCAGATCTTTTTATTTTTCTTTTTTCGGAGTTTCAAAGAAACGAAACCTCACCGACAACTAGAGGAGGAGAGCATGTGACGTGCATCATGGTTGAATTCCCACTTCTTCCATCCATTCCATGCAGGCCAAGTTTCCACCCTTCCGCAAGCCTGAAGTTTCCCCCACACAAAGTGGCTCCCCCTGATGTGATTTTCCCATTCCCCTCCCTTCCAGCCCACCCATCATCCTGCGCCCAAGAGAAAGCGGTGTTGGGAAAGGAGGAGATGGAGAGGAGATGATGATCATGAGCACCCTCTCCCCTTCCTTCCAGTGGCCGATTAATATCTCACGATAGTGACATGATTGGATCCTTTTCATGCCCTAGGAGTGGGTGGCGGGTCGTCCGGCTATATATAGGGTGGGGATTCTGGTGCTGGATGGGGGTTCCAGACTCATACTAACTCAACTCTGACGGGATTGTTACAGAAGTTAGTGTCTATCACTACTGACAAGTAACAAGTTTCAAGTTGGATGGAGATGAAAGAAGAATCTCTGCAACAATAGTGATGATCTACTTTTGCTCCTTACTCGTGCAGTGAAAGGGATCAGCTTTCCTCTACTGGGTGGTTTCATCCCAAGAAAAATAATTACCATCAGCCTCAGCAAGCATCATTATCATCGTCCATTCATTTACCGCCATTTGAGCTCTCAGATTATTGGCAATTATCCCGTGCCTTGCAAACTCGAAATTTTGCATTTTGCTTCATCCGGTGGTTCGAACCGCTCATCCGCGCTGCGCCGCGGGCAAATCAGAGAGCGTCCGCCGGGCAGCAGATCCAGCGTCCGGCGATTAATGGCCAACGATCTGGATAAGTCGAGGTGAGTCGCCTGGACTGCCTCTTACGTCGCCAAGTGGAGTTTGTATTCGAAGTATCTTTTGTTACTTTGTTAGTCACGATGGAGACCATGTCTAACTAGCGAATTTCGCTAGCACCGCCTTAGACTTAAAGACTATTTGGCCTCGGCCCTTTGCTCGCCCCTCTTCTCCCTCTCTCTTCCTGCTTGCTTACCTGCTTACTTTAGCTGGGGTGCAGCTGCAATTGCTGGACCTTGCTGGAACTTCTCGAAGCTACAAAAACCCTCCCTTTGGGCACGTGCTGATAGGTTCCGTCGGTTGGTCTCCCCTTTATCGGGATTCGCCTTAACTACTACTTGACGATCAATCAAGTTGTAGTAGTATATGAACTGCGCTTTCTTTCATCCTTCCCTCTTAACCACACTAATTCCTTCGCCTTGTTCCATCTTCCTCCTCTTTTTTCTCTTCTTCAACATCTTCTTCTCCGAAAGACGGGTTGTTCTTGAAGCTGCCTAATTCCTCAGGTTTTCACCTCCCATTATTTTCAACTGTCTCTTCTACCATTCTCCATGTCTCCGCAATAAGACTGACACATGGCGCTCTTCTCTTTCAAGCTTCACCTGTCCTTTTCCTTTTGTCTTTCTCGCATTTGCCCGTCGAATAATATTTGATCTACGTGGCATTTACACCGTTGGGTTCGTGGGTTAAAGTCTGTTCTCTTGAATCTCACTGAACCAAAGAAAGCCCTGGTGTCTTAGATCCCAGATTTATATACTTTTTCCCCCTCAGTGTCCTTTCTCATTGGCTTCTCTCTCACAAACCGCTCGAAACAACCTGCATACACATTTCTTCGAAAATGAAGTTCGGACGCCAATTATCCCACAAAGTGGTCCCCGAGTGGGGCGATGATTACATCAAGTACAAGGCCCTGAAGAAGCTCATCAAGGCTGCGGCGGAAAAAGTGAAGGCTGGCCAGGAGGCGGACCTTGCTGGTGAGTCGCTCTTCGGATAATTGCGTCACTCACCATAATGCGATCTTAGCTAACTCTGTCGCATAGGTTTCTTCTACTCCCTCGATCGAAATCTCGAGGATGTCGATCACTTCTACAACAAAAAGTACGCCGATTTCTCCCGCCGTCTAAAATTGCTGGAGGACAGATACGGGCAGTCCTTGGATGGTGGTCAGCGATTGGATTCCCAGGATGTCGAAGACCTTCTGGCGGCTTTGCTGGAACTGCGTAGCCAGATGCGTAAACTGCAGTGGTACGGCGAGCTCAACCGTCAAGGATTCGTCAAAATCACCAAGAAGCTCGACAAGAAGGTTGGCGCTCAAGCGCAGCAGAAGTATCTGCAGACCAAGGTCGACCCGGCGCCGTTCGCTTCGAATACCCGGGTCACTGACGCGTTGAGGAAGATCAATGACCGCTTGTCTGTCCTGGGCGAGCAGAAGATCGACGACGATGCGAGCTCCATACGCTCCTCCTTGTCATTGAAGAACGGCCCTGCACGCCCCAACCTGAACTTGCCTGCGAGCATGCTTCAGACCGTCGATGAGGCGCTGCGCAAGGATGATACTCATGTGCTGCTGGAGTTACTTGAAACTCTCAAAGCGGCGGCAGAGGAGTCGGGAGAAGATGTATACCCTAAGGTCCTTAGCAGCCTCCTTCAGCGGTCCATCAACTACCGTTCCACCCGCTGCATCTCGGTCCTTCTGGGTCGCATGGACTCTCTGGACGAAGAGGATGATATCAATAGGCGCAATTGTATACATCGCTTGGTGATATCGATTGGCCGGGCGCAGTCTACCACGGACTCAGAGCAGTCTGCGTCCATGGTGCTGGACTTCCCTCTGGAAACGTCCAATTACATCACCCCCGCTGCCCTGCCGACCCTGCAGCCCCCTCGCCCAGTCATCATGGAGGCGGGCCAGCCTAGTCATTTGGATCGGTCCGATCCCTCTGTGTCGGTTCTGCAGCATCTCTTGGACCAGCTCCAGCCCAACCAACGAGGTGCGCTCATCGCCAAGGACATTGCGGGACGCACGCCGCTACACTACGCGGCGCAGTATGGATTCAAGGTTGTTTGCGAAGTCATCATCGAGCATTTGCAGGCGTGGGACCTGTTTGATGTGACCGAGGGCATTGATAGTCCGCGCTGGCAAGACAACGATGGCTGGGCTCCGTTGCATCTGAGTGTTGTTGGGGGCCACCCGTTGACGACCCGTGCTCTTCTCGAGGCAGAGAATTGGCATGGTGCCAACAAGGACAAGGCGAAGATCCGTAAGCAAGTCTCGCGGTCTAGTGCAGTGCTTGCTTTGGCCACCAAAGCCAACTTTGTGGACATTGTCAAGCTGTTGGTTGAGGCCGGCGTGGATATTAACTATCAGGACGAACAAGGCGAAACTGCGTTGCATGTTGCAGCCCGCTTCGGCCATGATAAATGCGCCAAGATCCTGCTGGAGGGCAACGGCGAACAAAAGGCAGATACAGAGCTTGCGGAAAACACATACTCCTGGACTCCTTTGTTTATTGCTTGTGTTGATGGCGCGCTGAGTGTAGTGGAGCTGCTCATCCAGGCCGGTGCCAATCTGGAGAGATGCGACTCCTCTGGCTGGACCGCGAAGGAGCATGCGTCTCTGAGAGGTCACCTTGACATCGCGCGGTGTCTTGCCAAGGTCACCCCCGCGCCGACTATCAGTGAATCGGAGCCTGTGATCCCTGTGCCTCCTGTGGCCTCTGATCCGCCCTCTCCTCCCCTGTCGTCGCTTGCTGAGAGAAGATCGAACGGTACTCCTGCCCCGACCTCTCTACGGAATGCAGAGCCTATCAAGACCTTTGGGCACAGGTATCTCACCGATGAATCCATGATTTTGGTGAGCCTGGGAACGATGGACATGCGGGCGCATACGGCAGCAGTTAACCTTGACCGGATCCCGATGGAGAATGCGCATTCCACCCAACTTGACACTGCTCTGTCTTTGGTGGTCTCTGCTAGCGGGGCTCATGGAGAGCCGGAGGTGATCGATCTCCCTGTGCATGACAATATCTCCACCGAACCCATTGTCTTCCACGCCGCCGACGCTACGAAGGTCAGGCTCCTATTTGATCTGATTCCTACGTACGCTGGCTCGAAAGACAAGGTGGTCGGGCGTGGTGTTGCCCTGCTTTCTAGTATCAAACAATCGGTGGGATCGAACCGTATCAACCTCAAGGGCGACTCCACAGTTCCTATTGTGGCTGCCAACACCCTCGAGGTCATTGGCTCGGTGACCTTCAACTTTCTCATCATTACGCCTTTCAAGCATCCCAACATGACGGTTACGGGAGAGCAGACCTATTGGAGGAGTATGAGCTCAACGATGGTGATCGGACATCGCGGTCTGGGCAAGAACATGGCCAGTCGAAAATCGCTGCAGCTGGGCGAGAATACCGTCCAGTCTTTCATCGCTGCCGCGAACTTGGGCGCGTCCTACGTGGAGTTTGATGTGCAGCTCACAAAGGATCATGTTCCTGTCATCTACCATGACTTCCTCGTCAGCGAGACGGGTATCGACGCGCCGGTCCACACCCTTACCCTGGAGCAGTTCCTCCAGTTGGGCGACAAGGGTCCAGCTCGCAGGCCGGGATCCCCGTTACCGGGTATGGACGGCATCGGAGAGGGGATGACCGCTGCTTTCCGCCAGCGGTCTATGTCTGTAGGCGGTTCCGAGTATGACCCTACCGAACTCAACGAGAAGATCAAGCATACTCGTGATTTCAAGAAGAAGGGATTCAAGGGAAACAGTCGCGGCAACCACATTCAGGCCCCATTTGCCACATTGGCCGAGTTGTTCCAGAAGCTGCCCAAGTCGGTGGGATTTAATATCGAACTCAGTGAGTACCTCTTCCCATGAAAGAACAGTTACACGACGATCTGACCTAGATCGCCAGAATATCCTATGCTCCATGAGAGCGAGGAAGAAGAGATGGATACGTATGCGGTGGAGCTGAACTCCTTTGTGGACACAGTTCTCACCAAGGTCTACGACATGGGTCAAGGCCGGAACATGATATTCTCCAGCTTCAACCCGGATATCTGCCTGCTGCTCTCGTTCAAGCAGCCGTCTATTCCGGTGCTCTTCTTGACGGACTCTGGTGCTTCGCCTGTTGGTGACATCCGTGCTAGCAGCTTGCAGGAAGCGATTCGATTCGCGTCCCGCTGGAACCTGCTGGGCGTTGTCTCGCAGGCCGAAGCGCTAGTGCTTTGCCCGCGTTTGGTCCGGGTGGTGAAGGAGTCTGGTCTGGTTTGTGTGTCGTACGGCGCCATTAATAACGACCCAGAGAGCGTCAAGGTATGTAGCTCCTACCAGTTGTGTCATCCACTCACTAACTGCTTGCGCAGCTCCAAGTGGCGGAGGGAATCGACGCTGTCATTGTGGACTCGGTTCTCGCTATTCGTAAGGGCCTCACAGAGCACGAGGGCAAGGGTGACACGCCGGGCGTCTCGCCGCAGCCTAGCCCTTTGACCAGAGCGACGTCTGGTTCTCTCAAGGAGTCACTCAATATCCCTGTGTTGAACCAAACGGAGCAGAAAGATGACCATCTACATG